TATTTTGATTACTTTTTGTATTGCCTGGCCTTCCTGACTGATTTTTATGCTTTGTAGATCTAGTAAGCTCATGTCTCTTCATAATTTGTCTAACAGTAATTTAAAATAAATAACTCTTCATATAGACTATATTATAAACTGTATTATAGTTAATACGCTATAAAACAAACTGTTATACTGATATAACTTGTAATAGTTAATAACTTTGTTGGGTATGGTTACTAAGCGTAATTAGTTTTTACCTTACAGTGTTAATTAAAAGAGTTTATTGTATTTGTTATGGTTGTAATTGTGTAATTTTATATTTTGTAATGTTTACAAAATTTTAAAGTACTGGTTTAGATATTTATAATATAATTTATATAAAAAAAACGAATAATTATATTTAATATTTATTACCTACATAATAATTTTAAAAACAGATTCTTAAAAATTTTGCGTAATAGAAATAAACATACTTTGTGAATATGTAATATAATATATAACATAATATACATATATTACGTAATGATTGTAAATATGTAATTTTATATTATATGTTTTTTGTATATTTAATTTAATATCCACAAACCATACCAATAAAGTTCTCCGTAAATCATATCCATTGATGATATGGTGTTGAATTTTTAAACATTGAATAATTTATTTTTTTATTTTTTTGTGCAGCGTTACAACTGAATATATATATATGTATATATATATATATATATGTATATATATATATATATATATATATATATATATATATACATATATATATATATATATATATATATATATATATATATATATATATATATATATATATATATATATATATATATATATATATATATATATATATATATATATATATATATGTATATGTATATATATATATATATATATATATATATATATATATATATATATATATATATATATATATATATATATATATATATATATATATATATATATATATATATATATATTATAAGATAAACAAAATGAAGGAAGTGACTAACAGGAACTAACTGATGTTCGAGAAACAAAACTAGACCATTATAAGATTTTAGAGCACTTAGGAATAGTCACAAAAAAAAAAAAGAGACTTAATGGAATGACGAGTTACACGACAATGAATTTTAGTTGAGGGCACAATAGACGCTAGCTCTTTAGAGCGGTGCATGTTATAGTATTTGTATAAAGAGTTTCAACGGTTTAAAGTAACCAAATTAAAAATTGGGACTTTTCTAAACTGTTTTTTAATAAAATTGATTTCAAATTTTGATGAGGTAAGCAACTACTTATGAGGTTACTGAGGAGTGCATGTATTATTATGCCATCGAATTTTTATCCATTCCCCCCCCCCCCCCCCAACACTACTTCGAAGGTTAAATGAACACTCTTATTATCCATCCATTTGTAAGCAATAATATATTAATATAAAAATAATAAGGTAAGAAAACCAATGATCATAAGCCCCACTTGTAAGATCTTTGTCACTCCATAAACCATATTTTCTATCGGATCTTATTGTTCCACAACATAACACATTTTGCAACTGCAAATACTCCGTAAGTAGGACAGACGAGAAATAACTGTCAAAAAAGACTTCATGTTTTTTGTTAAATAAGTTATTTGTGAAATATAAAAAACTTTTTCATCAAGAATAAAGCATTTAGTTATATCAATTTTTTCAGTTTTACCGTTCTTTTCTTGATATATACTAAATTTTAAGATATAACCCTCTATGTCAGAACGTGTCCATACTTTATAACTTCTTTGGATTTTGAAGATTTCATAGGGTTATACTACTTCAAAGAGCTTCTCCCTTTTAAATAAGACCATGCTTTCATCAATACTTATATACTCTCTTGGGTTCCAAAGTTTCATACAACTCTCATTTAATTTGTCGATAAAAAGCCTAATTTTATATAGTTTATCTGTTTTGTTTGAAGGTATAGAGTTATTGTCGTTTAAATGAATGTTTCCTAACATTTGTGAAAATCTACTTCTTTAAAGAAAATTTGAAACGAGTTAAACATTTAGGTCTTGAGAATTATTCCAATAGCACGACAATGATGGTAAACTATGGTATTCTATTAAAATATTATCACCTAAGAATAAAAATAAGTCATTAATTGAAATTGAAGGCGCTCTTTTGTGTTTTTGGTTTATACACAAATTGCTTTTAAATAATATTCTGTCTCTTATTTGAGTATCAAAGAACTTTAAAAATAGTCTTTTTCATCATGGCAATCAATAAATCAATGACATGTTCTCCTGCTAGACAAGAATCAATGACAGGTCCTCCTGCTAGACAAAATGTTTATCTTTTTTCATCCACAGTCGTTCTTCATTGATATTGATTTCTTGGCATTGACCTGTATTACTTTTAGTATTTAAAACAGTCACATTTTTATTTTTATATGATTTTCATATCATATAAACTCCTATGAATTTTAACAAGGCTGTAAATTTTGATTACAAACCAAAAAACCTTACCAACATTTAAACGCATCAAATACCAAAATCTAAAATGGTTTCAGATTAAAAAAAAAAATAAGTTCGTTGAATGGACCTGTTTTTCGGTTGGTTTATAAAAATAGACAAGGTTGATCGCTAATATTTTAATGACCAACAGATAGAACTATAGATTATAAATTAAAGTTTATCTGTCGGTAGTAGAAATGGCTAATTGTTGTTCTGCAAATTCTTGTCCTACAGTGGCTAGCCGCTGTTTTGCTAACACTGACTAGCCATGACTAATCCATAAATAATACTTAAAACAAAACGGAGCTTCGCCAACGTTGGTAGCCGCAGCTAGTCCGGTGCGGCAGCCTACCCTGGATTTGTGAGGGATCATTATATACTTGCTGATTGAGGTTGATACAATAAAACTAAAATTGTGTTTTTGAAAACAAGATGTAAACTGTAATTGATTGTAAAAAAACAATGTTTATTCTAAAAATACAAATTTAATAGATGATTATTTAAAAAAGTGATAAAATAATAAGTAAATTATTAGCTTAGAGAATGGGGTTAAAGATCTCATAATGATATCAAAAGTAGGGTATGATTGTTGCACTGGACAGTCTGTTTATAAACAGATAGTATATAAAGATGTTAAGCTAGCCAGCATGACGAAGGTGAAACTTTGTTCCTAACCTGCCTTGTTCTCCTACAGTCCGCAGTTATAAGACAAAAGAGGTTTTTTGGGCAAACATAAAAGCTTCATCCACACTCTATTACAGGCTAATCAAATTTCAATACACAAAGAATGTAAAAATGTTATAGTTTAGGGGAGTAACTCATCAATGAGTGCCAGGTTGTCCCTACAAAGTTAGATGTAATCATTTTACCACAAGCTATAGAAGACTTTGGTTGATAGAAAAGTAGCTACTACTTATAGTGAAGTGGTTGTTGTCTTATTAGTTCTAAGCTGAATGATTTGAAAAGGGTTTACAATGTCGCAGCAGATTTTCTTGATATTAAGTTTAAACATGGCCTGTCCATCTTTCATTTATGGATGAAAAACTTGGAGTGCTTCGTTCACTAAGCATACATGCTAAACAGTTGATGACAAGGGAAGGAGATAAAAAATTCAGAAAAAACAAAACAGATTCAAGTAGCATTTTGAGCTGGCCTAGGTATATATGTTCCGAAGTCAAGAAGATCTGTAACACCAATAATGAAAGTACAGCCGGAAGAATTTTTAAATTCTTACAAAACATCAACTGAGAACTTTGTTGTTGATGATGAGTTGATGATGGGATTTTACATTACTCTCAATATCCACTTTAGAAATAAAGAGGTGGACCCTTACAAGCTTCATCAATATAATCTGGAGTCTGATTAACTGCAAACTAACCTGTATAACTGGTAATATATGTTCCAAGTATTTCAAAAGTTGTTACCACAAAGTTATCAGGTTGTCATAATTAAGGGCATTGCAATTGGATCCTTGTAAGTAAGAACTAATGATGTTATCTAAAATTGTGTTTAAGGTCAACAGGGATGAGTGCACAAAAGAGTTCTCCAGGCAAGAGAAAAATTACCATTTTATGATAAGGTTGTCAAGCAACTCTAATTCTAAAATTTCTGGAATGAGGACGAGTGAAGAAAAAATCAAATACTCCAATCTACCTAAGAAAGCTAAGGAGCTCTTGATGCACTTATGTATGTCGAGTGCCATTACCTAGATTCTTATTTATAAAAATAAATCTTATAGTAACGAAATTCAGTTTGAATGTAGGTTTTATGTTGTTTTTCAAATCAAAAAACTTAAGTTTATTAAGAACATAAAAAATAAGAAAAAAGTCTTGACAACCCATGACCACTCCTAAAGTGACCACTTATGCAGCCATAACAATACCTATAGACTAAAATTGACCATATTTTACTTTCCTGATATTAATTAGTTATATATAGAGGTACAACATGTCTGATCTAATTAAAAAAGCAAACGAGACATACCAGGATCAACCTTGACTACCCCAAAAGTAAATAACTGAGTGGTCATCCTAGAGATTATAAATGCCCTGAGTTTTTTTTTTATTTTTAAGTAGATGAAGGTGCTCCAAAAAGTCCTTATGGTCTTATCACAGAGCACTGCGGAAAACCATTTAATAGGAAGTTCACGCCTCTTTCCCAACTGATGTCGCAAAACTTGCCCAGAGGTAAGGTTTGAACCACGGATTTTACGTTTCTGAGGCAAGTGCGCTACCACTGCGCTACGGCTGCTCAGAGTTGAACTCTACAACCTGAAAAACCTAATAATATACATATGAGGTGTCCCATCTAATTAATTAAATTATTAAAAAATCGTATGACCGCCGCTAAAAAAGCCGCCAGTGCTGTCATCATCACTCCAACCCTAAAAATTACTCCCTTTGAGTTTCTTGAACCCAAATATCCCTATAAACATGTATCATATGTCTTTTAAGACCAAAAAGTTTTGCTATTTTTAAGACAATGACTGTAAGACTGTGCAATTTTTACGTATATTGATAAGTTTAAGTAATTAAAAGTAACGGGCATTACACGTTTAGTGTTACAAATCTCGTTTAGGTTACATTATGTAACAAAAATATAAAATTTTAAAGGAACTGTTACAATAAAAATTTTCTTTGCTTCTTCAACTTTATACTTTAAAAAAATATTGAAGATTTGATTATAATCATATATTAATTTTTGCTCATCCCTAAATGTTTATGTGAAGTTAAAATCATCATTAAAATATCACCATGCAACAAAAAAAATACCTGACAAACACGTTATGTTATCCGATAGTAATTGGTACCCTGATGGACATGAGCAAACTGCGTACCCTGCCACTAAACTGCAGTAATTTTGAAGGTAACAGCCTTTAAAATAACATGGATCTTAAAAAAAAAAGTTATATTTATTATTAGCATTTTAAAATAGGTTTAAGTATGCTTTACCTATTAATATTTAAAATTAATTTTTTATTCTTTTAATGTTAAGATAATTATTTTAAATAAAAACTTTCTCTTAATTCAAAACCTATAAAATATTTAATAACATAAAAAGTTCAAATATAAAATCAAATAGTTCCTAATGTTTTAAATAAAATAAAAATCTAATTAATTAAATTAAATTTTTCAGCTATTGTTTCTTATTAATTATATTTAAAAAATCATAACTTAAATCTAAACATGTTCAAAAAAATTTTGTAATTTTAACAAATTTAGGTTTCATGCTGTTATAGTCATCAGATTAAATACAAATATAGTTTTTTGTTTAAAAATTTTACACATATGAAACTATACAGAAAAAACCTATACGAAAAAAGTTTTTTTTTTATTGTAACGACCGTGTATCTAATCTTCAGGTTTGTGGTTGCTTAATCGAAATTTATATTTTGACGACAACTCTGTTTATTATTACGTAGCTCTTTTATATTTTTATAAAGTAAAATGTTAAATGTAATAATTGGTTTTAATATAAACAAAGTAAAAAATTTTTGGTTGTATTGTTGTAGGCGGGACTTTTTTTAGCATATACCTAACTAATTCAGGTGTTTCTTTTAGTTTTTCCCTAGTTTTTCATATATATTTTTGAGAAAGTGGTTGCGTTTGGTAGATTCTTATTTAAAATGATTGCTTGTGGTTTGCATACCACTTTCATAAAAATATAAAAACGCTGAATAGCTAACTTTCATCATCAGGAATAATGCTATTACAGCATATATTGCACGTGAGCTCCATCATTCATCTTGGTTTACATTTAGGAGTTTCTTCCAGTTTATTCGAGGCCAGCGTGAAGTTGTTTTGTAATGACGATACGCTTGACATAGTTCATATTAGAACTTGAAATCATCTCGCCATGCAGGGTTTTTGCCTGTGTTAACATCATCTGTCACAAATAGGCGGTAATCAACCTGAAGAGTAACATAATTCTCTGTTAATTTATCAATGAAGGAATAATTGAGTTCTGGTTTGCTCGTTGGCTCTTGAATAAAAAAATTCACGACATGTTTCAGAAGGAGGTCGAAAACACGGTGCTGACAGCCAATATATTGTGGTTTCTGAAAGCCCTTGCTAAAAACATCATCTTGCATTAGCTTTACATTCCCATGCAGACGACCAGTATTTACTGCAGTTGTGTCACAGATAATCATGCAAATATTTTCCCAAGCATTGTATTCATCAATTAGCTGATGTAGTTCCTTGTAAATGGTCGCAGCAGAACCACTCTCACATTTAAGAATACCGAGTTTGATTTTGGTAGTCATATTTTTCAGCAGAACTACTTGGTATTCTTCCTCATGCACTCTTTTACCATCAAACTGGAGACAATATGGATCTTTGCCCTTAAGTTTTTGAGCAATTTTGGTTTTTTTTCTGTCCTTCAGAGATTACTCTTTTCCACCCGCCTGACTTGGAATCGGCACATAGTGGACTTGTTTAGCAATGGTTGCGAGAACTTCATGTGCTTTTTGTGTAGAAATGTTGTGTATCAATACTAGTAAACCAGCTGTTGTAGTGCTGGCTCTTTGGTATTTCAGGAGATGACGTAGAAGAAGAGGTTTGCGAATCGGGTGAGAAGTTTCAGAATCCAAAGAATCTTAGACAGTTTTATGTGTTTGTGTAGGATGCAATTAAGAAGAGCTGGCTTGGGATTGAGTTTTAGAAAGTCCGATTCGTTTTCTTGGGTGGATTGATTCCAGAGGAGCTTGTTTGACCATTGAACAACCAATCTTTCCTCGAATCTCAACTTGCCTCTGGTAGAGCTATTATCTTCCGTGTTTTTCCATTCTCCATTAACGTTGGTGACATCAAATAACTGAGAAATTGTTGCGGTGAATTTATCAGATGGTTTCTTTTTGTATTTGTTAAATAAATCAATCAGACTGTTGAGCTTCTTTCTTATGAGTGCGCTGGATAACAGTGGAAAGTCTATTTCCTCTCAAAGCTTTTTTATATCTGTAATCAAAATCTTGATTCGATCCAGTCGCCGTTACTCGCTATTGAACAAAAAAAGTGAAGTTTCTAAGAATTTGACGGTTTGTCGGCATCCACGTGAAATTGGTTTGTTTTTCAACAGATGAAATCTTTGGATTTTTTTTATTTTTAGAAGAATAGGGTATATTTTTTATCCAGATACAGATTTTTAGAAGAATAGGGTAGATTTTTTTATTTAGATACAACTGTTTGATTCTATACTATTTCTGGAATATCTATAAGACATTTTATTGAAGTGACAAAATGTCTTTTCTGGATGACTTGCAACCTTGAACTGAAAACGAGGTAATTAATCTGCAATATTTCAAAATGTTATAAAATACTCCAGAATATATATACTTAATGTTATTAAAATTGTAAATGTTTATTTATCAAATATACTATATATATTATATAAAAAATTTTGGTTTTCATATGCTTTCGCTAATATATATATGTATATATATATATATATATATATATATATATATATATATATATATATATATATATATATATATATATATATATATATATATATATATATATATATATATATATATATATATATATATATATATATATATATATATATATATATATATATATATATATGTATATATGTATATATATATATATATATATATATATATATTTATATATATATATATAATTATAATTATTTAGGAGAAAGAATCAAATTTGTCAGCACTGTGGCGCTAAGAAATTTCCAGATGAAACAGATATTCTATGTTTCTATAATGGTAAGGTAGCTTTGCCTCCACTTTCACCAATTACACAAGCTTTACAGGATTTGTTTACAGGGAGTAGATGGTAATGCTAATGCTAATTTTTTAAAACATATTCGAAATTATAATGCCTGCCTTTCTTTTGCTTCTTTTACAGCAAATGTCGTTCAACTAATGAATCATGGGCATCCATGTTTTAAAATGTGTGGCCAGATTTTTCATCGTGTAGGTAAGATTAGGCCAGATCAAGATATTCCACCAATATATTCTCAACTATATATTTATGATCCACCTGCTGCACTAAATTTTAGAATGCAACACTGTGGTAATGATCTTTGTTTACGTGATTTAATGTTTCAATTGCAAACTATAATTATGGAACAAAGTTCACTTGCTCTTGCATTTAAAAACATGGCTGAAAAAGAAGATGAAGAAATTCGTAAGGCGGCTATAGAAGGTCGTTCAGCTTCTGTTGTAAAAATGTCTTAACTTGAAGGCGGTGATAGACGTCGTTATAATGTACCTTCACATGATGAAGTTGAATTTGTAACACCCGGGACCTCTCTCAGAGAGGTCCTTCAACAAATGGAAAGATAATAGTGGAATGGATGAAACCTCCTTTAAATGGAGGGCTCATCCATACTGGGGTGTTGGGAGACACCGAAGAAAAAACAGCAACCAAAAGGTTGTAAATGTCTTCTATCAGTAAAGATATTTATGACTTTTTGGTTGCTGCTTTTTCTTCGGTGTTTTTTTTTTTTAATTTTGTAATTAATTTTAATTTTATAATTTTTTTTTTTAAATATGTATTATGTTGTATATTTGATTAGCTTTGATTTTTTTTAATGAAAATTTTAATTGTTTTCTCACCAATTAAACCTGACTTCAAATTTAAAGCCCTCTTATATACCCCTCTCTAAAATTTAAAGTCGAAAGTTGAATTGATTCATTATCCAATTATAATAATATAATGATGCTGCATTCTTTTGTTAAAAACAATTATTTGGTATGTTTCATTAATTGAACTCACTGCTTTTAAAATTTACCAAAACCCAAGGAAATATATTTAGCTATATAAGTACAATTTATTTATCTCGATTCGATTCTTCATCTTTTATGTTCATAGTTTGGCTTCTTAAAGCTTTTTATGTTTTGCTTTTTTTATTATGAATATTTTAAATCCGTTGTGATGTCTTTTAAATCAAACTAAAGTTTACTAAAAGCCAACATAAAAATTACGTTTTTGAACAACACCAAAAGAACAGCTGCATCCCTACAGCAACTGCTGCAGTATCACAATAGGTTACCAAAAGCAGGTATACTGTTTTCCAGTTAATTGTTTTTTTTCAGATATATATCTACTTATCTATATAATACTATAGTACGATTGTTTATATCTCATTCGTTTTTTTTTTCTTTATCTTTAAGTGTTAATAATTTTATTCTTTGAATGATATTAGTTAAACAAGTCGGCATTTTCATTGATATATTGGTTTCAAAACTGAACACCATTGGCAAAATGCTTACAAAATTATATAGTTTTTAAAAATCTGTTTTCTATTTAATACACTTTTTTTTAAATATACTTTTTTAATATACTTTTTTATAACAATCCTACTAATATGGAATCACGTAGCTTTTTAAATATGTTTAATTGTCGTCCCTATCGATAATAAATATTTTAAATTATTTGATATGGTTTCCTTTACAATAGGCTATGCTTGGCTCCTCAGTGCTGTAAATGGTGGCATTAACTTTGTTTTTTTAAGAAAAATGTGTTTTATATATGCTTCTGTTTTAAAATATTTTTGGTTACATATTTAACTATATATATTGTAAATAAATTTCTTATAAAAATATGTAAACATGATACTTGCTTTTTTACGGATTTTCAAAAAGTGAACAAAGGTTTAAATATATTTTTTAACTGTCTTATATGATTTTATCATTTTTTTTTAAAGCTGAATAATTACTTCCAAAATATTGAGTAAAATCCAATTGCTTTTATTATTAACCTGATCTATACAAAAATTAATGAAATAAAACTAATAATTTAACGCCAAGTTAAGGCAAAATGTATTCCGGACATTTTATAAAATTAGTATAAATATGGATTAGATGTATGCTGAAATAAATATGTTGATACACGTTAGCTGTTGTTGATACACG